CTAATAACGTACAAGCAAATATTATTTAAGTCGTAGCGCTAAACTCAATTGTAGTTGAAAAACAAAAAAAGAACACGAAACATTACAATTAGTAATTTATACATAAATTCGCAAGTTTGTAATATAGCATCATCTCAAGTTTAACACGTTATATTTGAAAATTCTTTTTTATACTTTCTGCATTACATGTGTTATCCAGATTCTGTGCATTCTTCAATTTCAAAATTTTATATTTATATGAATCAAAATTTTACTTACGTTTTTACTTTTTACGCAGGCTAAGAATAAAGTCTTTAAAGTTTCATTGATGTAGTGAATATATTAGATATGGACGAATCTAATCAACAGCCAAGCCGCCAACAACATAAGCAGACTAAAGACGAAATTTTGACAAATAGTAGGAAGATTTCCAAAAACTTATCTGGTCGGAACGAAAAAACACCAAAAGCTTCCAAAGCAGGTGAAAGTTCTTCTCATAAAAGAAAAAATACTTCTCCATGGTGGGATCATTATGAAAAAACAGATGATCTACATTTGGCTATGTGTGTTTATTGACATAGATTAATCGGTTGAATTTCTAATAACGGGACCACATGTTTAGCTAATACAAAGAGGTGCAAGTTGTTCCCTGCTAATTTAGATAAGAAGCAAAGACTATTATATGTGCCTCACTGCTCATTTTATAGATGATAATTGGAATTTGCGTAAAAGAGTGTTTATTTTTGCCCAATTGCAGGTCATTCTGGACAGCTTATTGTTAGAGCAGTTGAAAAGTGTCTAAATGAATGGGAAATTAAAAACATTTTGACAGTAGATAATGCAAGTTCTAATGAAGTTGCTCTTGATTATCTAAAATGACGGTTTAATCACTAGGAATGTAGTGTTTTAGATGGAAAGTTTTTGCACATGAGGTGTGCTGTGCACATTTTAAACTTAGTTGTGAAAGATGGCCTAGCTGACCTTGATCTTTCAATTAAAAAAACTCGTACTTTTGTAAAGTATGTAAGGTCTTCTCCTGCTAGGTTACAAAAGTTCAAAGTGTTGATGAAGAAAAATTAGATAATAAAAGTCTTGTTTGCCTTGATGTTGAAACTAGATGGAATTCGACATACTTGATGCTTGAGTCCGCTTTGAAATTTAAAAAGGCATTTGCTAATTTAATTTTGAAAGACTCTAATTTATTAAAAGAGATGAACAAGGTTGGTGGAGATATAACAACCGAGGAGTGGAAAAAACTGTCAACTTTTCGGCCATTCTTAAAAATATTTTACGATGCTACATTGAAGTTGTCAGCTTCACATTATTCAACATCTAATTACTATATTGATACTATTTTTGGTGTTGGCTATGTGCTTTCCCAACATCTTCACCATGAAGATGACAAGATTTACGTTGATTGGATGGTAAAGGAATAGTTTGGGATTGAAAAAGCTAGGTGTTTGTCTTTGAATATAACATCCACATTTTCTTCATTATTTGAGTTTTATGCTTCTTCAATGCCTCAACCAGAGAGTATAGCCACATTTGGTGGTTCAGGTTCGACCTCTTCTACCGGATTTTACAATAAGGATATTTGGGAAACACATTTGAAATAGAAGTAAAAGCTGAAATAAGTGAAAAAAAAGTTGTGGGAAAAATATTTAGAAGATAAACGTGAATCTAATGAATCATGCCCAAATGTGTTGGATTGGTGGAAGGATAACAAAAATAAATATCCCACACTTGCTAAGATAGAAAAAGATATTCTTGCAATTCCTGTGTCTACAGTTGCTTCAGAGTCTGCCTTAAGTACAGGAAGTCGTGTCCTTGATTCTTTCCGTACTTCTTAGACTCCAAGAATGCTGGAGGCTTTAATCTTTGCACAAGATTGGCTACGTACTTCTAATCATTCTTTCATCATAGAGGAGAGTTTACTCGAACTTGAAAAATTGGAAGAAAGTTACTTTTCTTTTACTTGCTACAATAATAATAATAATAATAATAATAAAAATAATAATCAATTATCTAGTTATCAATCTCTAACTAATTATTTTTACTCATAATTTATAGGTATTGAAAGTTTGACATTGGAACAATCAGTCATACTTATTGATGAGACAATTGATGATATTTTGTGATTGATGTTTTTACAATTTTTAATAAATTGTTTTTTTTTTTTTTTTTTTGTGCAAGAAAAGTTAATTTTTTAGTAGGAAATATAAAAGACATTCATGAACTCGCTTAAACAAATGTTTTTTTTTGTACACTCAGGCTGTTAAATACTTAAATGTTATTGTTGCAGTTCTGTGAGTTAAATTGCTAACTGTGTACTCTTGCGTACCTAATCAACGGTAGGGGATGTTTATTGATTTTCAGAAAAATTCCCTCCCATCCCAAGCTTAAGTTAGTCTATAAATTGAAATTAAATTTAAGAAAAAATTTCCACCAACACTTTTGGTAAAACAAAAACCCTCCTTGTTTTATAGATATGACTAAAAATTCCCACCACTACTTTTATTCTCACATCCACTTGTATTAAGCACGAAAGTAAATTTAAAAAAAAACTAGTCAACATGTAGTCAACATCCACTTGTATCAAGCACGAAAGTAAATTTAAAAAAAAACTAGTCAACATGTTTGCAAAAGCAGAAGACTAACCGAACTAGATATCCGTTTTTGCTCACCCCTAATAGACTCTATGCTAAATTTAAATTTTGTTTTTTTTAAACAATAATTGAAGAAATACTTTATTAACTAAAATATTATTTTAATTATACAATATTTTAAATTTGTTTAAGGAAGTCATACCTATTGTAGAAAAGCAAGGACATACCTTTTTAATAATTTTATCAACGATATCTTGATTATTTGTTGTGATCTGTTCAGATATTTCACTAATATCAGATGATCTTCTGAGTTTTTGATTGTTAATTTGAGATATTTTCTCAATCCAATCATTTAATTTTGATGTTTCTGTTCAATGCATATAAATCTGTTTTGCAAGAATTAAAAATGTTTTTTAGACAACACTCTTACATTCCTACATCATATTCTCTCCAAAAAAATTTTTTGAATATGAAGTTGTACTGAGGGAGTTTACTTTAATAAGTTTATGTGATCCTTTTCTAAAGGAAATAAAGCGACATGCACAAATTAGACATTTTTTGTCAGCCATTTTATGATGTAATCATAAAATGACACAATTTATTTTAGACATATTCGTTAATTAAATCTAGAATTTCTATGTTTAAAAATTAGTTTAGATTTTAAAAATCATTTTAAAATACTTTATTTAACCCAATAATAGTCAACAAACAAAAAAATTTAGAATAAAACAAAATTTACCCTGGCGGTCTCAGGAGAGCACAGTGGGTTTTAGACAACACAGAATTGTTATGCAAAAGTCAAAAGTAATTCAAAGTGATTTAATTTGTTTCCAAAAGAATCATTTTTTACAACCCATGCTCTTAAAGTTAACAACTTCATTATTTAATTAAAAGCAAAACAAAAACATTTTAGTTTGCCATTTAAAAATTTACTATTAGGTAGCAGAGGATTATTATCCTCTGTTTAAAAATGAAGTTTTCTTAAACTCATTTAGAGCTATTATTCTCATTACCCTGCATTATTACAGCACATAATAAATTGCATATGTAATTATAATAAAAATTATATAAAGTGATCCTGTTTCACTTTTCCTGGATTATTTTATCCACAAAAAGAAAATTAATTTTAAATAAGTATTAAAATAAAACTTATTAATTTTGGAGTTTTAAGTCCAGAGTCCATCAATTTTGACTCCAAATATATCAATAGGACTTTAAATTAATTATTTTTATATTTCTTTAAATATTCAAATTGGTAATACTTTGAAGTTATGAGTAAATAATAATTATAGGTTAAATAAATACATTTTTTTGAAATAAAAATCAAAAACGTTAAATTTAAACATGTAAAATAAATAAATATCTTTGTATACGAAATGAAGTTTATAACTGAACCTTAGGGGTAAGCAGGTAGGATTCGTACACTTTTTACACTAAGTTGTATAAAAGCAAAAATAATTGCTACTTTAAAATAAGTTTAATGCTGTACGAATCTTACCTGCTCTCCGCTATAGACTTACTTACATTTATTATTAAAAAAGTTTTTGTCTTTATATTCTAAAATTACTTTTGTTATTTGATATTACTTTCTTTCTTTTATTCTCTTTGTTTTTATATTTTAAGCACATTTAAGGATGCGTTTATTAATTTAATTATCTATTTATGATATATTTATTAGAATAAAAGGCACAACAAAGTCTAAAACATGAAATGATCTTCGTAAGGATATAGGCCATGAGTAAAAACAAATCACCTAAATTCAATCTTAAAAATTTATAGGATTTAGGGCAGTTTCTCTTATTCCATCTTTATTTATAACTGACTATAATACTTGATAAATAAATTTATCCTGCTAAGAATCCTAAAAGTAAGTAACAAACCTAGTTTTATTAAATCTAATAACAATAGATTTCTAAAAGCTGAATATAGAAGGTGAGAATGTAAACAAACTAATGATTAATTATTATCACACTAATTTGTTAAGGAAAACATGAAATAAAATATTTATGTAATAAATTTAAAAGGTAGTTTGTGAGAATGTAAATAAATCAATAAATAATTATTGTATTATAATTAATTATCATGAAACTAATTTTGTTATTCAAAACATAATTTTTAGGTTAAAAAAAAAAAAAAAAAAAAAAAAAAACTTTTTTATATACCTAAAAACTTTTTTGCAAAGTTTTTTAAATTTATGTCTTGATTTATTTACTATTTCACTACATAAATTTTTTTTTATACAATTATCAAACAATTTTTTTAGAGATTGTTTATAAGTAGAAAAAATAAATGTCATTACTGTTACATTATTTTCACTATTGTGCCAAATATAGAGTTATGGGATATTGGGATTAGAAACGAGTAAAAAATAAACTTATATAATGTAAAAAAAAAAAAAAAAAAAAAAATACTAACCTGATTTATTTTGTTTTCAATAACAACAAATAAAACATTTGATTTTTGAAATCTGATTAGTAATCCTATAAAATTGTTGATTAATCTTTCAATATAAAAATCATCAGTTGGAAAGCAAGCCCAATCAACCATTTGACTAAGCATAAAAATCAATGTTTCATCGGAGATGTTTGAAGACAAAATAATTACTTCTAGATCTTTACTTAATACTTCAAGTTGAAAACAGGGCACAAGTTTTGCAAGAGATATCGAAGGACATTTATTTGGATTAGTTAATGTATTAAAAATTGTTATAGCTATTTGCTTCTTAAGAACTTCATCCTGGCCAAAGTGTTTAAGGAAAAATTCATATATATGATTGAGATGGTTATAATAAGTTGGGTAGTCTTTACTTGTTATAAAAACAAACTGACTTGAACTAATAATGGACACCATTCTGGTGGACAAATCCGAAAGAACTGAAAAATTCAAATTTGACGGAAACAATACTGGATATTGCAAGTATAGACCACAAAAACATGCAAGAAGCTCAAGCTCATCTACTTTAAAAAAGAATGAATATAAATAAGTGCTCAGCACCGTTTTTATAGGTGAAGTAGAAATATCATGAATAGCATTTATAGTATTAATACATTTATTTATACTTCTTACATGTTTTATTTTTATGTTAGATTCCATTTGATTTAAAGGCTTCTTTAGTACCTCATCAGTAAGAAATCTTAGCGATGCATCTTTATTATGCTTTACCCAATTCATAAACATGTTGTCCATTGCTGAATTCAATTCATTAGAATAATTGTCTTCTTTGAAAAAGTCGACACATATTTGAAGTATGTTATCTATAGGTTTGTTATCTATATTTTTTTCAGCACTATAACTTATTTTTTGTATTAATTCAATCTTTAGCTTATCAGGATATGGCGAGTTTAATATTCCTAACAGTATTTTATCCATAATCTATAACGATAAAAGAACTTATAAAAATAACATCAAAAACTATACCAAACTATTAAACAATTTTAAAAAAAATAGACTAAGACTAGTGTTACAGTTAAAACGTGCTTTATACTCACCGTACATAATTTTTCTTTTGAATTTCATTTTAAATATGCAGGCAAATTTTGAATGAAATTGTTATCAGCAAGAGAACTATCAAGATTTAATACAAAAATAAAATAAAATTCTATACCTCCGTAAAAAAAGTCTAAACAAATGGACTAATTTGAAATGACATCATAACTAATTTGAAATGACATCATAACGTATTATTTTAAAAAACTTTTTCGCCGGGCGTTGTAATCATTTTTTAAGTACACAAACACAGTGTCGCAAAATGCAACTTCCCGTCCCGTGAAAAACCTTTTGTTGTATGGGATCGTCCATAAATTACGTCACGCATTTTTTGACAGATTTTGACCTCCCCTCCCCCTCGTCACAAAATCGTAACACTTAAGAAACAAGTTTTGAATGAGTCGTCACAAATCTACCAACCCCCTCCCCCTTATAGCGTGACGTAATTTATGGACAACCCCTATGGGGTAGTACACAAATAGACGGTCGGTCATATTGATAAAGATTCTAAAATTAAACTATTAGGTCCGTGGGAGAAAAATCGAATTTTGCTTATTAATGAAAATATTAATAAGCAAAATTTATTATTAATGATATTTTCAAATTTAATTTTTTCAATTTGGAAGTAAAAAACTTGTTTTTAAAAAACTACATTGTGATTTTATTGAAATATAAAGTGTTGATTTGATTTCAGTTAGAACTAAACACATAAAATTTACTGGGAAAAATTAAAAAAACACAGTTTTAACCTTTGAGTGGTAACATTCTCAAAATTCCAAATAACGCAAAAAATCATGACGAATGCAAATAATCTGTAACTTTTCTTTGCTTACAAAAAGTTAACAGAGATATGACTAATTTTTTGTTTAAACGTTCACGAAAAATTTTTCCTCGTCAAATTGATTTCAATGATCATCAAAATCCAAGTCTCTTTTAAACTCCTGGATGACCAAGGAATTAATAAAATCATCAAAAAAAAAAAAAAAAAAAAAAACTTTATGATAAATATTTAAGACATAAAACATATAAAAATGAAATAAACTACAAAAACTATAAAAACTTATTTGAAAAAAACAAAAAACACTCAAAAAAAATTTATTATACAAACTTGTTAGAAAAAACTAACGGCGACACTAAAAAAACTTGGAATATAATTAAACAAATAATTGGTAAAAATAAAAGTGAAAAAAATAATCTCCCACAAAAGCTTTTAATTGATGGGGAAATGATTTACGATAAAAAAAAATAGCTAAAGAACTCAACTCATTTTTTCTTGAAGTAGGGCCGAACTTGGCGAGTAAAATTCCGTCAAGTACCACAAAGTTTGAATCTTACATTAAATCATGTAATTCTATTATGGAAGAATCTAATATAAATCTAAGCGAAATAAGGAATGCTTTCAACAGTCTTAAAAGTAATAAAAGTGTGGGCATTGACAAAATTAGTGTGAATGTTGTTAAGTCAGTCTTCGATATCATTGAACCGTCATTATTTCATATTTTTGATCTTTCATTAAAGCTAGGTTTTGTGCCGAAAAAACTTAAAATTGCCATAATCACTCCCATTTTTAAATCTGGTGACGAAACTAATATTAACAACTACAGACCTATTTCCGTTTTACCCTCCTTCTCAAAATTATTGGAACAAATTATGTACAACAGACTTTACAACTATTTGATGTTAAACAGTTTGCTGTACAGTAAACAATTTGGATTTCAAAAAGATAATTCAACAAACCATGCTATAATCGAACTAGTTAATCATGTATCGGATGCATTCAATAATGACTATTTTACTCTTGGAGTTTTTATTGATCTGTCGAAAGCCTTTAACACTGTAAATAATAAGATACTTATAAAAAACTAGAACTATATGGAATAAAGAATAAAAATTTATTTTGGTTTGAAGAGTAACTAGCGAACAGGTCACAATGTATTATTTATAATAAAAAAGAAAAAGAAAAACATATTACATGTGGTGTGCCCCAAGGTTCAATCTTAGGGCCATTATTATTTTTATTGTATATAAATGATTTATACTTAGCATCAAAATTTTTAAATGTTATATTGTTTGCAGATGACTCCAACCTTTTTTATTCCAACAAAGATATAAAAGCTCTCTTTAATATATTTAATGAAGAACTAAACGATTGGTTTACAAGAAGTAGGCTTTCGTTAAATGTAGAAAAAACTAAATTTATTTTATTTTTCAAACCTAGTAAAGGTGATGATGTTCCTCTAAAATTACCCAATCTCCTAATCAATAAAACATTTATTAAAAGGGAACCAATTGTTAATTTTCTAGGAGTAATAATAGATAAAAATTTATCATGGAAACACATATAAAATATATAGAAAATGAAATATCAAGAAATATTTATATATTATATAAAACTAAATCATATCTTAACACCTCTTCTTTAAAAAAAATATACTTTTCATTTATTCATAGTTTTATCTCTTACAGCAATATTGTATGGGGTAGTACTAACTATGGTAAGTTAAAAAAGCTTCATAGTAAGCAAAAACATGCATGCAGGATTATATTTAGTGCCCACAGAACTTTTCAATGTGAAACTCTTTTAAGGAAGCTCGGTGCCCTAAGTGTCTATAAACTTAATATACACCAAGTTCTACAATTCATGTTTAAAACTAAACATGAACTCTCTCCTATTGTATTTCAGTCTTACTTTAGTGAAATCTCGCACAAGTATCCTACTAAATTTTCAATTAATAACTTTATTGTTCCAAAAACTAATTCAAAACTAAATTCTTACAAAATCCAATACTGCGGACCGTTTCTATGGAAACATTTTTCAAAATTTATCACAAAAAATAATGTTCATCACATCTCTTTGAAAAATTTAGAAACGAATCTAAGAATCTCTTATTACAAAAAGACTTTGATTTAAAATATCTCTTTTAAAAATAATTCACAAATAATATAAATTATCTAAAAAAATAGTTATTGACACTACTTCTCTTTTGTTGCAAATTTAATCTAATTTAATTTTTTGTTGAAAAATTTTAATACTTTTAAATTATTGTTAATCTTTGATATAATGCGTTATATTTTAACACTAATATTTATATTATGTTATTAGTTATATTGTAACTAACGTATTTAAAATTCTTGTTACGTACTTAGCTACTCTTCATTTTTTATATTAACTGACGATTTTTTAGTGTAAATTTTATGATGGGGCTTGATGATAAGACAATTTATGTCTTCTGCTTGCTCCAGTTCTCTTATTAACACAATTTATTTCATTGTAAATTTTAATATATGACAAAACTCTTTGCTTAAAAAACAAAAAAACAAAAAAAAGTGTTAATGGGAATTTGTGAAAAGTGCCGCATAGCTATAGAAGAAGAGGATCAGACGAAAATGTTTCTCTACACTCATAAACTGACTTATATTAAACAATGAAAATTTGTCAAAGTACAAGAGAGTCAACATGAATTCTTGATTTCTTGCATTGTATAATCAAAACTTGATAACCCACTTAGGCACTGCTTGAATGGTCTATGCTAAAGAACAAACAGTCGTTAAGAAACGATGTTCTTGTGGTTTTCCATTATTGGTAGAGGTCTTTCTCATAGTTAAACCAAACAAACAATATTAACAGAATTTGTTGAATGCTGTTACAAAACAAAATGTTATATCTGAAAAAGTTACTGATTTAGTGTTTTCAAACAAAACTCCATCCCCTCATAAGACTGAAGACTAAATCAAGAAAAGTTTCTTTCAAATCAAGAACTGTTTCCTGTGGTTCCAGCTAATATAGTTTTTGGGTTCATTATTTTTTGAATTTAAAAAATTATGAATGTTTTAACAGGGTCTGAAAAAAAGAGTTTAGCAAATAAAAATATAAAAGATTTAACTATTTAGATTATAAACTAGGAAGATTATCCAAATCGCGACGTTAGAAATATCTTGTTCTATCTCCACATTTTTTAGTTTTGAGATAAAACGATTTAAAAAATAAAAACTTTAGGAGATGGCATATAATTTTTTTTACAACTTATGTATTTTTCCGCAACTTTTTTACTTATAACTTAGGTTTCAATTCAATAGAAAGACATTTTGAGGAACACAACACTATCATTAACTCAATTTTTTCAGAAAGTGCAGATAAAACAAAATAATTCTAACGTCGCGAATTGTAGATGATTTTTTCTAGCTGCAGGTGCATTAGATGTTTAAAATATCCTCGTTGTTCAAAGTCAGATTAGATTCAGTAGCGGGTTTTAGAAGGGGTTATGAGGATAGTAGTCTTAGGACTTTTTTTCAGAAAGAGTTTTTTATAAATTTTGCTAATGGTGTATTTTGTTAATTTAGTAAGGAAATCACTAAACTTTTGTTGCATTAAGTTTAGAAAAGTCTTTAAGACTTTGCTACAAATTATCTAAATGTAGTTGTAGCTGATTTATTCAATTTTAAAATGATTGATTAAAGGTACGATTTTAATTTATGGTTTGCCTATTCGGAGTAAGTATGTCTTTACCACATCTTTATAAATAAAACACGCTAAATAAGCAAAGCTGTATATGTAGGTGTACCAAGTGTTTCAATCTGTTTGGGCTGCCATTTCTACTATCTCACTGTGTTAAAATATATTTGTTCCACAAATAAATAAAATTCATTGAAGAATGAAACAATGATGATGACTAAGCTTTAGTCAAAGGCATATAATAAGATTAAGACTATAACTTTTGAGCTGAATGATATGTTTTTAACATTTACTTATAGTATTACTTATACTATAAGTAAATGTCACATGCATATATGATTAAGACTATGAGTAAAGTAAAAATAGTAATACTGTAAGTAAATTTTTACAGAACGTAAATTATTAATACTTTTGGGGTATCTTTCTTTGCAAAGAAAGATACTCTAGATTTATGTAGTCTATCAAGCTGATTATTTTTAATTTTTGTACTAGATTTTAAAAGAAATTGAATTTCAATATTTATATAACTTTTCATTAGCAGATTTTATAAAAAAACAAACGATATATGTTCGAACTTTATTTTCTATTTAATGAAATGTACTTAAAATACTATTATATAACCCTAATTTAATGCTAAAGATTATATTTGTTTGCAATTTTGCGAAAAAAATAATCATTTGCGGACGTATTACCGACAGGCATTTGTT